CCCCAAAACCCCAAAACCCCAAAACCCCAAAACCCCGAGTAGCAGTTATAATCTGAATAGAGGGATTTTATATAAAAATCAGAAATCAAGGGATGTTGATTGAATAGCTAACTAATTTTATTTTTGATTTTGTATAATTGCTTTACTTATTAAGATGAAATAAGACAAAACTAATCTCATAAACAACAATCTGAATAATGCGAGCCCTAACAGCAATAAGCCTTCATCTTCTAAGTTGAATTTTCAGAAGCTGATTAACGAGTACAAACAGGATAATTTCAAAAAGATGGCTATATTGCATCATGAGTTCGTCTATGCATGCTTTCATCCAACCATAGATGACTGCTTGATTGCTCTTGAAAAAAATTACTACCCGAATGATTCAGAGCTTTTTCAATTAGTTGAAGAGGAAGGCAGTTTTTATGCAAATTTGATCAAGCATTTAGAAGGCTTGAAGGACATTCAGAAGCTGAAAAAGCTATCTCAACTGCTTGGGATCGATAGAAAATTGCTAACAATTATTACAGAGGAAGATATTCATTTGAAAATTGAGGGAGAAAATATTCTTAAGAAAGAGAGCAGTTAACCACTGACAGTTTTTAATCAAAATGCCAATCCATCCTAGCTATTTTCCAATCAAAGAGATGATGCCAAAAATAAGTTAGAAATAGTTGAGAGAGAGTTTGATAGCAGTAGACATTTGCATTCTGATGCAGGATTTGAGCTGCAAGAAGAAGATTCACAAGTAATTGATAGAGAGATTGAGGACAGAGAAAGTGAAGATATACTAACTAATTAGGAGATGATTTATGACGCAATAAAATTTGAACTATTAAAAAGGATCAAAGCTAATATGAATGCAAACGCTAGCAGCAATCTCAAACTCGGTGGCAAAAATCTAAATCAAATTATTTCACATGGAATAGCGCCAGGAATAGGCATGAAGTTGAAAACAGATGAATAAAATATAGATACTCAATTTCTCAATATAAAATTGGAAAAAAAATAAAAGAACAGCGTAACCAGAATTCAGACTAGAGTTACTGGAGAAAAAACATTAGCCAACAATAATGAAGAAGCATAATAAGAACTACAATTTAATGAGCCAAAGTCCTTGAGAGAAGAGAGGATGCTAGGAACATCTAAGAAAAAGTATGGAATTTCTATTTGGAAACTTAACAGAGGGCAGTAAGCATATTAATAAAAGGAACATCCTTTCAACTCTTGCCCAGCAATGTCCAAGTTCTTCATTTCTCATGATTCCCAAAAGATTGTATTATTCGTTAAGAATGAGAGTAGCATTCCAGAGGAGGAAACTATATCAGCTGTTAAGATTCTTGACATTAAAACCCTAGAGTTAATAGATGAGATAAGCACTTATGAACTCTCCTGTATTGAGGCCTCTTCAATTACTGATGCCGCACTAGTATGGGGAGATAGATATCTCTTTATTCAAAGTGATGTTGTCAGTTATTTCTTCAATATTGATAAAAGACAAATAGAGTACTTCTTTGAAAATGAATAGTCTGACTAGAATAAAAGTAAAGTGCTGTTACATTCGATATTCAAAGATAATGAGCCATTAATGTATTACACCATAAACTTGACAAACAAATAAACACCTAATGGGAATGTCGACTCTTATCAGCTATTCAAAACATAAATAGACAAAAATAAAAACATATTTGAAAGAAAAAACAAATTCGCTGATATTACTTCTGGCAGTGGAGTTCTTGAATACACAGGAGTGATTGGCTATAACAAAAGATTGACGTCAATAGTGTTCCCTGGGGAATAAGTTTACTATGTTTATAATGTCGCTAGCCGGTCATTAAAGTCAATCAGAAATGTTTAAAACTGCCAAGTCAAGAAGAATTGGTAAATTATCTTTAAGTAATTAATAATATGATATAGCTTCCTTGATGATTTCGTTTGGATTGCCTATAATGATGACAACTATGATACATTTACCTCGTCAACTTATAGTTTATCTAAAAAGTATCACCTTAGCAATCTCGATCTCGATGATTTTTCTCTTGGAGATATATAACGAGAAAGAGGCTAGACTCCATAAGATTCAATTGTAATGTCTATTGGTAAGAAAGGAGAAAAAGAGGCATCGAGTAGAATTTGCGTCAACATAGTTATGTAAGACGGTCAAAATCCCTTCGTAAATTATATTCAAGAGACTTCAGATTTTGTCTTTGCTTACCCAGTTATAATGTACTGTAAAGGTAACTCAGAGCTTTTCATTCAAAATTTAAATCAGCCTGAAAAACTTATTAAACTTGATCTTGAAGAATGTAACTTCTTTTAATAATAATCTCTATAGAATTCGTGCAATTTGTAGACATGAATCATTACATAAAGCTAAAGCCACTTCATATAGCACTAGGGCTGTCAGATGGAAACTAACAATTTAGAGCTTATGAAAGTATCGCATTTTTAACTCAAAGTGATGAGAGGATATTTCTAAATATACTAGAATACTCACCTTACAGCTATGATAAATAATATACACTCTATAAATCTTCTCAATCTATCTAGAGACCTAAAAGTAAGAACTTATCTATCTATAATTTATTTTAGCTTAATATGGAAATATCATTAAGGCTGTATTTTAAAAGGTCAAGCATAAGGAATGCAAAGATCATGATTACATCTTGATACTTCAATATAGAAACTAGATATTGATAAGATCTTTCTTTAATTTATTCGTCCTCAATATCGAGAAGTGTAAGATTTGATAGATTTATATAGTTTTAGATATTTACAAATTTCCAATGATTTATCTGCCTTCAAAGTATAAAGATCACCCAGATATTTGCTTTTATATGACAAAAGATGGGTATTCTACTAAAATCGAAAGACTAGGATTCAACGGAAAAGAGCATAAAGATCCTTTGTCAACCGCTTATGAATTAAAGACCTAAAGTGTATTCGTATTTTGCTATCATAACAAGCATATCTATGTGATGGATGATACATTAACTCTCAAGAAATTTGAGTATGACAGGAGAACACAAAAACTCAAGGTATTAAAAATGTTTGAGTTTTGCCTTGAATACAGAGATTTCTTAGCATAGCCAGTAGACTATCATGACATCTAGGTTTCAGATAAAGGTGTCTATAGAGGTCTTTTATTTGTTCCTTTCTTTGAATAGAACATATTCAACAAAGATATAGGCCTAATAAGGGCAGATCCAATATTTAATGTCTAGGAGAATGAACTATTCTCAGGACCGAAAAAACTAACAGGAACTTAATACATGATGTACATAGCAAGAGGAGATAAAAATATCCTATCAAATGATTAAGGCAACAACTCTTTTGAGGCTTAATTATAAAATGATTCAATGGAAAACATATTAAGTGAGGTAGATGAATAAATAGGCCAAGATACCAGTCACAATATTCCCAAATATTCTCCAGCCAAATCTAAAAATGTAGCAGAAAATGATCCAGACTTGGATAAAACAGCTGAAGTCAAGCAGAACAGTAATATTATGTAAAATGTAAATGGCCTCAAGAAATCTAAGACTCTGCATCGTATTTCTAATTCAGTGATTCCAAATGATAGAGCTAGCTAAATAAAGTTAGCTGCAAAAGGAACAAAAAGAAGTCCAAGCATTTTGAGAAGTCCAAGAAGTAATCTGAGTCCCACAGGGGTTAAGTCTTAAAAAACTACTGATGCATTCGATTTCCAAAATGTTGCAAAATCCACTAGAAGAAGGGTAGATGAAGATCATGATGCTAATACAAATTATTACAGCAAATCAACTTTCAAAACCACTTAAAATGCTCTCACATTTAATAACTAGAATAATAATGAGTAAGTATATGCCTGGATTGTACCATTCCTTGATTCAAATGTGCTACAATTTACTCATAGCATTAAGAAAAATTCAAATCCCAAGTACTAAGTTGACTTCTCAACATTCATTAATAACTATGACCAGATTCTTATTCAAATGAACAAAATATTCTACCTATACTCCAAAAACGGGACTTTCCTCTACCAAGTCAATACAATAAGAGAAGGTGTAAAAAATGCCTTTACAATTTAGCAAAAGGGCCTTGAGTTAGAGAGTGTGTCAATAAATATGACATATTATTCGTTTTATGACCATTCGAATAAATGTTTTGATATCTACTAACTAGCTAGAGACAGAGTTGAAACACATGAGCTCAAGAAAAATTTAACAAGATAAAAGTATACCAGGTTGAAGTCTAAATTATATAAATCATAAGGAGATTAGCCAGATGAAAGTATTGACAGGTATATCAAGCCCTACATCTTTTAGTATGTTAAATCAGTAAAGGAATATGGAAACTTGAGATTTAAAGACGATTATTTTAATTAGAGGCATATATCAAACTATGGTCAATTGTATTAACTAATATAAATCAGGAGAAGTGCAATTAATTCAGCAATTAAGACTAACATTAGAATGAAGTTTGAAGGATTAGCTCAGATCAATTAGGCTAAGAAGTCTTTGATTGCACCTAACAAGCAAGAAGCTGATAACGAGGATTCTAAGTTCCTTACTGAGTATGAAATTATGTTCAAATTTTATATCGATGATGAAGAAAAGTCTGAGGACATAAAGCAGAAATTTAGCTTGGTAAAAGACCATTTAAATTCTAAGCTAGATGCATTAGATGAAAGAAGAATATTCGGCTTTTAAATTCTTGGAAATTATTTATTCATCAAAAGAAATTTGAGACTAGAATACTTAAAAATATTTGAAACTGACTTAGAACATGGTACTTAATAGTATAAGATTGCTCAAAATGCAAAAGCTAAATACATTCATTTAATGCTAGATAAAAATTCTCATATTTCGAGGCTAATGAGTACATCATAATAAACTCCAGAACTTCTTTAGATAATTGTCAGTGACGAAAGATTTATGTATGTCATAACTTGGGAAATAGAATAGAACATCGAACATTAGATGATGCAATTAGAAAAAAAATTTGATTTCAATGCAGGGCATGCTGTATGCAAAGGAATTACTGAAAGACATAACTACATCCCTATCGACAACTCATTCTACGACTTATATTTTGGACTGCCTTTCAAATTTTTTGAAAATATTGGTCGTAAATGCCCAAGAAAAGCTAAGATGAATATGAATGAGAGAAAACTGTCTTAGGCAAATAAAGAATACTTAGATTTATATGAAAATAATAAAGTTCTAAAAAGCTATAGTTACCTAGATTTATGCTATATGAAAGCTTTCTACAATTTAAATAAAGATTAGATAGAGTAAAAGCATATTATGACTAAGCATCTTAACATTAGAATCAAGGGCTACACATTCTTTAGTTTTATAGCTCTTGACTTTAACTTATTAAAAGAGGTATATGATGAGGTCATGAAAATTGATGATCTTACAACACCATAAACTCTTGTAGATAATAACTCAATTAGTCAATACAAAATGCTATTTATTCATATGCTCTATCCTGACTTTAATAATATGAGTGCATTCGACATTGCTATGCGAGACAAAAGTCCAAAATCAATCGAACTAATGCTGGAAATGCTTTGCTAACTTGGAAATTTCTCCTTATCTAAGTTTTTTATGCATCACTTCTCAGAGTTATTCTAAATGGAGCTAGTATCGTTTTAGAATTTTCTATCCTCTTGCCAATTTCAACTTCCTCGAATGAGAGAGATTAAAGTTTTAAAATGGGTCCATCCAGAAGATGAACATTATCTAGACTATCATACTTCCTATCTTGGAGATTAGTTCTATCAAAGGATAAAAAAGAGAAATTTCGGCAGGGTCTTGAATGAACTAAATGATGATGAGTTTGAAGAATCATTTAGAGAGCAGACAAATCAATCATTAAGTTCAGAGTAAGAAATCAATAAAATCGAATCAGACATAGCATTTAAGGATTTAAATGTAGATACAAAGAATGTAAACTATGGAATATTAGGCCCATAGATAGATGATTTTATTAAGAAAGATACTAAGCTTGAAAACATGCAATGGAAAAAGCAATTCGAAGTTGGGGAATATAAAAGAGTAGAAACCTTCGCAGTAGAGTTTGATTGGATATTTAGAGGTAAAAATGCAATTAGCTTTATTGAACATCTTGCTCACAATGCAAACGATTCTATCTTTGCTGTTGATACCATAAGAATAATTGTGCTATTTCTTTGGGAGAGATTCTTCTACAATATCAGAAATAAGATCTTCATACCTTTTGTTTTCTACTTTGTGCTATTTATGGTTCAAATCGCATTTATATATCAGCAAAAAGTTTATATCATGGCTGTCCATAGAGGAGAAATTAAATCAGACACATCCTACTCATAAGAAGAGCTTGATGCATGGAGAATTGCTGACTATTCAGTGATTTCAGTGCTATTTTTGCTCTGGTTCTATTTCTTTTCCATTGAAGTGAAGTAGGTATTTAATCTAAAGTTGGATTATATCTTAGATTTTTGGAATTGGTTTGATGTGTTTTCACTTGGGTTAAACATGGCTTATCTTGTCAGAGATCTTACTGAATCAGATTCTCATTCAAATAGAATACTCTCCTCTCTTGCTGCTCTGCTGATGTGGCTTAAACTACTCTACTTTTTGAGACTCTTCGCTCCTACTGCTGCTTTAATAAGAATGATAGTTGAAATCGTCAAGGATATGTCTGTGTTTACAATCATTTATTTCATTGCTATTATTGGCTTCGCTGATGCATTTTACATTCTAGCTTACAACTTAAATGACAACGAGGAGAATGAGATGTTCAAAAATAACTTCTTTCTAGCCATTATTTACAGTTACAGGACTGGACTCGGTGACTTTGTGACTGATGCATTTGACAATTCTGAGGATATTGCCCTGTGGTACATCTTATTCATATTCTAGACCGTTTTCATCCAAATTGTCCTATTAAATCTTTTGATTGCAATAATGGGAGACACTTTTGATAAAGTAACTGAGAAGAGGGAGGAGTCTAAATTGAAGGAAATATGTGAAATGATCTCAGATTACGAAGGAATAATGGACAGAGAAAAGGAGTTTAAGTACTCAAAATATATAATAGTGTCCAAAGTTGAAAAAGCTCAAGCTAACCAATCTTCAGATTGGGAAGGGAAACTTGCCACGCTAAAAACTAACTTAAACAATGTAGTTTCAGAAGTAAGAAAAGAATAAAAACAGTAAAGTGAAAACTTGAGAGAAGAAGTCATTGGGAATTCAAAGTCAATGGAATAAAAATTTATGGACTTACAATCAATTCTCATGAAATAATCTTCTTAACTTGGCCTAACTTTAAAAAAGATAGACCACCTAAAAGACATAGTAAAAAAGGTATCCAAAAAGACAAAAAGAGGTGGAACAGTAGTATAAGACATCATCGCTGTAGCTGGACCAACTATAAATTTGGAGTAATAAGAAGGCTAAATTAATATGGGAGATTAGGCTGACTTCGACGATGAGGACGAAGATGATATAGTCTTTGATAAAACACCAGATGGCTCCATTCATAATACAAGAAATTAATGATTTGCAAGTCAATATTAATCATTCTAAATATCTATTATATTTTTCAAAAATTATTTCTAACTCAAAATTGTTTTTCTGGGGTTTTGGGGTTTTGGGGTTTTGGGG